TGTACGGATTTCCAAAATGACAATTGCATAGGTTTTAAAGGTGTCGGTTCAGGGCCAATTTTGGCCATTTTTACACTCCCTCCTTTGTAAAAGGGGAAATAATTTTGTAATAGTGTTGAAAAAAAAAATACTACAAGTGAATGTCTTTTAAAAGTCCTTCGTGGTCTACCAATCTGCGCTTCTTATAGGTCTTAATCCTTTAGGCAAATTGAATCCAGAAAATTTCCTTTGTTGGGCTGGAAGATACGAAATGTTTATGGAAAAATGGGATAATACTTTCTGATTATGTTGCATGTTTATTGGAATTCATATTTTGCAGTCATTATGTTGTAAAAGGCACGATTACCAAATATCAATAATAAAAATGAGAGTAAATATTTACCTTTACACAGCCAACTCAAAATGACTCTAATGTCATTAAAATTGACCATCGAAAAGGTCAAAGTCATCAACCTTTTCTGTTGTTGTTCATTGAAAAGTTATTAACAAATCAATTTTAATAGTATATAATTTTTGGGCATAAGATATATATTTTATTATATAGTCTATGTGTGTACTCTGCTATATAATTTACGTAACGCTTTTCTTTTATGCTAATAAAATGGGATAAAGTAGACATTTTACTTGAAGCGACTCCTCCCCACACTAGGGATGTTCGACTTTCCGCCCGAAGCAAGGTCTATCCTACCTCTTCTCTGCCCAGGAATATCCGATTTTCCGTGCGAAGCAAGGTCTACCCCATCTCCCCCTCCTCTGTCTAGGGACATTCAACTTTCCACGGGAAGTGAGGTTTACCTCACCTCTCCCCCTGCCTACATAGAACAAAATTTAGGACCCTGACAGTACCAGGTGGCACCCAGTTGGACACGGCTCAATTGGACACGAGCCACTCACAGCGCTTGAGACTACAAAGCTCCTAAGCACCGGTCGCTGTGATTGGTGGTGTCCAATCGAGCCGTGGTCAATCGGGATCACCCCACAGTACCAATGTTCGAGCGAATTCAGTTCGATGAGAGATCGAACCTGTACAAAACAAACGAAGAGAGGGGGAATTCTAAACTGGGGTGCATTCCGAATATAAGTCCAGACAACAACTTTGATAATTATGGAGATGAGGGGAGCCAGCCCCGATGACCTTGACCTTGACATATGTTGTCAAGGTTATGACCCTGAGTGACCTCCAACAAGTTTCAAGGCCATTCTCCATAAGACGCAGAACGCGGGTTGCAGGTCGTAAAACTAGAAACTAACCTAACGTATTTTAGTTATGATATGATTGTAGGACGCAGAACGCAGGACGCAGAAAGTTAGGTCAACTTCAACTTTCGCGTCCTGCGTCCTGCGTCCTACAATCATATCATAACTAAAATACGTTAGGTTAGTTTCTAGTT